CGGGGCTGTGCGAGCGCCAGGGGACGCGGCCCCGGGAGGCTTGGGGACAGGGTTTTCTCGGGGCCAAGCTGCCTGCGTAGGGTTTTAGACGGCTGGCGCGGCCTTTGAGAGGGGAAAGCAGAACGAATTTTAAGGAAAAATCCCTTAACTTTCCCCTAACAGTCGCAGGTTCGCAGTAGAGCCCCTCGCACCTCAGCCACTAACGTTAACGCACAGATGCCAGCACACATCTCACAGAGCTGCTCCTGTCCCAGGGCAGGTCCAAGGTAACTGAGGCTGACGGTTGATTGGCTTCCTATACCGTACCATAATGGACGGTAAATTGTCGTGACAACTGAAGCCAGAGATGTCACGTAGCTTAGTGCTAGCAAAGTAAATTACCCTAACTTCAGGGACATTCCCAGTGGCTTTCTAGGGCTGTGTCTAGCGTAAAGGAGCCTGAATATAGCAATTAAAAACAAAGCATAACTAAGTGTAAAGAAAGAAAAATGTAGTCATTAAAGGAGATATTTAGCATATGGACAATGTACTCATTTAATATGTTCCCCTCTGTTACTTGTCTCTGTTTACCCAAACTCAAATTATTATTAGTGCTTACAAAAACAAATAAAGCAGCAAGGGCTCGCAGCCAGTTTTTTGCTCAGATGTGCCAGGTATTTCAGTAGCTCAGTCTGCCTATGAACTGCTGAATGAGATCATCCACGTACATCCTTCCTCTCTCAGCTTGAGACTTTCAGGAAGATGGTGTTGACTTGACCACTGCTTTTTAGCCCAAACCAGTATGCCGCTCCCTGCAATAGTGTTTTGATGTCATTTTGGGGGAATGATGAACAAAAATGCCTTTTCTTTATCTCCTCTAAACACGTATAGAAGAAAGACCTTGAAGGTATGATGTAGTAGCGAAGTAAGAAATATTTCCCACCCTCATTTATTTATAGTAAAGTTGTACTATAAATATAAATAAATATTCACTTTTATGAGTAATATTCCAACTTACTTGTGAGAACAATGAATAAAACAGCATAGATGTAGATTACAGATTTCCATGGGTGAATGGTTCCTAAAGTTAATAGTCTGTATTTTTCATTTAGCACTGAATACCTGTACTAATTGCCATGCTATATTTTTTGTTTGTAGATCCTTGTAAATGTGGGCAATTTTTTCACGTTGGAGTCTGTCTTTGTAGCACCAAGAAAAGGAATTTACAGTTTCAGTTTTCACGTAATTAAAGTCTATCAGAGTCAAACAATTCAGGTACGTTGATCAAGTATGATTATAAAATCTCTTACTGAAATTGTTTATTTAGAATAGAATCTTGGCTGAACGCAGGAGTATTTAACACACTTCAAGGAAACACAGCTTAGTTTAAAGCAACCTGTGGCATAGAGATCCTAGCAATAAGGTGAATACGTCTAAACCGAACAGCTGTAATAAGGCAGGGTCCTCACCTCGGATAAATTGCCATAGCTTCACTTCTATATGATAAGAACTATCTGGGGTGATACAAAGTATTAAATGGAATGAATCATCCAAGCGTAAAACAGAGCTCTAAATTTCACTTAATTGCATAAATACTACTGAAGAGGTATATTTTGCTACAGTTTAAACTCAGTCTTGAAGCCAGGAGTTCCGGGGACTGGTACCAGATTTGCTTATTTTGGTAACGTTTTGTGACCCGACTGGCAGCTGATGATGCCAGGTATCTGTTCACGACACCAGGCTGCTGTGGACCAAGCTTAGTTACAGTGGTCTACTTGTTCAGTAACCACACCAAAATGTTATACCTTTGTAGCGATGTCTTCTCGGGAACCTTTACAGCAGTTTAAACATTTTTTTCACCATATAATACATAAAATGTGTCATCTATTTAAAAAAAAGAGTGATTCTGCACTTTCTTCTGTATCTTAAGAGCAGCTGAGCTGCCTAATTAAATACAAGTATGTACTAGCTTAGAGGAAAAACCTCTAAGTTCCTGAACACCCCCTCGCTGAGCTGACAGTAAATTCCTTAAAGTACATTCCTTAATCTTCACGCCAGGTCATGCTATTTCTGTGACTTACATACTGGCTTCCTAGATCTGGAATAACATCTGTGGCTTCCCTTGTTTCCACCCATGAGGCCACCAGATGTGCAGCAGAATCTGATGCTTTTCTCTTTACCTGTCTTGCTTGTGAATATGGTTTTCAGTGTACAAGGCTGAGACGAAGCTGGTTTCTGCAGGACTGCTCAGCCATTTCTTTGTGGCAACTCTGGCTACGGGTTGCCAGTAAAGTTCCTGAGAAACGTGAAAATGGTAGAGAAGGCAGAGAAAGCCGGTGTGAGACACATTCACATCCCTGGTGAAATTTGCCTTTGGGCTACAACAGGAAATCATCGTTCCATTCAGGTCAATGGCAAAAGTCCTAGGCAAAATATTGACCTCATGAAAATCTCTATAATGAGCTTATAAGCTATTTAATACGCTCAAACTTTGTTCCTTTCACTCTCTTAAATGCTGAAGGTTGAAATGGCCTAGAATAACTGTATGTCAGCCAGCTGCATTGGATTTAAAACACATATTGCCAAGAAAGATGTCAAGGCTTGGGTTCTGGAAGCCCAGTGCCACCTTTGGTGTTTCACACACCAGGTACTCAAACCGGGGAGTCTGGGGCTCGTAACAGGGAATGTTACAGCCTTATGCATGACCCAGAATCTTGCATAGATCAAGAGTTTCTGAAGTGATGGATGGGTTTTGTTGGCTCCATTTTGGCATAGTTAACGCGAGACCATCTGGTGCAAACCTGTGATGGGTACCTAAATTTCCTGAAAATGTCTTCTGCTGTGATTAAAATAGCTGTAAGATGATCTGCAGGGAAACGTGACCTAGAGAGACGGTACAGAGGGAGTGAGATAAACCAAAGCCAAGCAACGAGTAAACTCTTGATGCCCTTGTTTTCCATGTGTGATAACTAGGGGGGAAGACTGAAAGCCATTGCAGTGGAGCAAACCAGCTTGAGTCTCAGCCACAGGCAGACTTCACCATCACTAAATCACCTGAAGGCTTCCTACATAAGTGATATTACTATGCCCCTAGAACATCTGTTAGTACCATTAAATATCATTAAACTGAAATTGGTTCCCTGGGGACATCTGATTAAGTGGATTTCCCAGATCGGCGAATCCCAAATCAGGGCCAGATTCTGCTGCCCTGACTTCTGCTGAGCACTAATTTATTCCACGGTGACTCCCATTAAAATTAATGGGAGCATATGCAAGGCCAGCATACTTGATATGAATAAGCATTTCATAATTCACCCCTCTGTGACTGCATTATAGCTGCTTAAAAAGAAAAAGCAGAAGAAAGCTAATAGGTTGCCATTGGGGAAATGAAAAATGCCCAGATCTGTCCACTCCCCCAGCCCCTGCCCATCTTTATTTACAGAGTGCCTGTGTGATGTTGCTTTCAGAGCTGAAGCTGTGCTGACTTTCAGAAGTGTTTTGTAGAAAAATGGATTCAGTACCAAAACACAGCGCAGTGGTTTGTAAAGCTAAAAGTCTGTTCTAGACTTTAAAACTAAGCTGGCGTCAGTAATGGAAGGGACATATATTTTGCTCTCAATGAAGTGTAAGGTCCCAGCCTACTGCAGTACCTTTGACATCTCATTAGGTGCCTGTTAGCGCATCTCTGGGTACTGAAGTTTCTTGACAATGTCTATTTGCTAGTGTGTGTCTGAATAACCTGTGAGGAAGGCAAAGTGAAACAAACCAAGGTAATAGCTCACAGGTCCACATTACCAGAGATTTACAACAATTTGTGTGCCCAAGCAACAGATGAAAGCAATGTCATGTTTGCCTCTCACACCGACTGAGCCCGGACCGTGGTGCGCAGAGGACAGTGTCCCACTGACTTCACTCAGCTGCAGGTCAAGCCCATGAAACACAAAAGTGCTTGTACACTCCAAATACATGTAATTATTGGTTTAAAACAAAACAAAACCAAGCAGCCAAGATTGGGACCTTGGCAGACCTCTTACACTGTAGCTAATATTCAGTGATAGTTCTTGATGTTTTTCTGTCAATTAGAGCTTTTCAGTGGTTTTTGTCTTGCAGGTTAATCTGATGCTAAATGGAAAGCCAGTCATTTCTGCTTTTGCCGGGGACAAGGACGTCACACGTGAAGCTGCCACTAACGGAGTCCTGCTCTACCTAGACAAGGAGGATAAGGTTTACCTGAAACTGGAGAAAGGTAATCTGGTCGGTGGATGGCAGTATTCTACGTTTTCTGGCTTTCTGGTCTTTCCCCTGTAAAGTCAATTTTTCCTGTGACATTCATCCAGGTGTGGACTCATCATTGCCTCTGTTACATGAAGATCATTTTGTCATCATGGATTGATGTTTCTTTATTGGTTTTTCATGGGTGAATATGGATTCTCTTTATGGATTTTGGCCCCATCTGAACTACTCAGAAGTTTCGCAGAATTTTGTGTGTTTAAATACAATATATTTGGATTAAGACTAAAGCAGACAATAAATATCTATGCTTCATGTTACAGTCTAAATCTGCCTGCAAGATTTATTCAGATTTCATTTACTGGACTTATTGGATTCATGGGAGAAGTGGATTTTCTTTAATTACGAAAAGACTCGCAACCAGGTCCATAATTTAGGAAAGTTTGAGTTCAGACTTCAATCAAGAGTTAGTGTGTTGCTGCCAAAGAACTGTATATTGATATATTGGTCATACATGTTTTTGTCATTGGGACTTAACTGACATGATCTATTCCATTGTCTTGAGAAAGGTAATTATTATTGATAAGTGGTTGACTTTAATTCTCCTCTCCGTGTAGTGTGTTGGATGGTTCACCTGTATATTTATGCTCTGTCACCGATCACAATGAAGTCTAGCTTACATAAAGCTAAGAGGTTTGGGTTGTATTTTAGTTGGCTATGTAAGGCATTCCTGTTTTCCACATGCTGTTTTTTAAAAGGAAGAGCAGATTATAACCATTAAGAAAAATATTCTTACCGTGGTTATAGGTGATCATTCAGGCACAACTTTGTAAAACAGCTTTGCCCTGCAGGGAATGTCACACTTGTTCTTCAATTTTAATTAACATGACTGATAATAACTGGTGTATTAAAAAACTAAGGGATTCCTGCCTTAGACACAACCACTTTATTAGCTGGAGATGAGATCCCCTCGTTTGTAATTATGTCTATTTTTCAAGCCTTCTCTTGTGTTAGAGGTATCATCTGGTTTTGCCTTAACTCCACAACTGTATGTAATTTTAGATCATATGTTTAACAAATACTAAATCCAAATAGCCGGTACCTAACTTGGTGCAATACCTTTTCGGCTTTTTGTACAGGTCATATGAATTCATAAACTTATTTATTATATCATTATTACATAATAAAGATTAATGTATGTTAGCTGAATTTTTGACCTTTGGATTTTGGAAGTCACTTCATGCTATTTTTTTATTGGATAGAATTATTATATGCAAAGTGTAAGGTTTTGGGATTCACAGAAACTGTCTTGGGAGACAGGCAGACTGTCACAGCTTAGTCTGGCAGAATTCTAGAGATAATCAGAATGATGAAATAACCTATGCATTTTATTTAAAAAACATTTAGGCAGAAATCCTGGCTTCACTGAATTTAGTGTTAAGAATCACATTGATTCCAAGGATTTTGGATGCGACCTGTGCTTTAGGTTTTGCCATCAGCATTAAACTCCAGTGTGATCAAATTGAATAGCAATTAAAAATTCTTTTCACATGAACTGCTAATGAAACCTCATCCCTCATGCTAAAAATATACACTGAATTCAACAGATATTTGTGCCTTGCAATATCATGAAGGATACAATTCCAAATTAAAAAACCTGAGAAACATTTTGGATGGAAGAATATCCAACAATCTGGGACCTTCTCTAAAAGCCAGCTTGGGCTTGGATTTGCTGTTTTAGGTAATCTCTTTCCAATTTCTTCACTTGTTAGCCAAGTGCAGTGTATCATATTGCTCTAACCACTGTAAGTGGATAGTTCACTGATTTAAAGTCTAATGCATGGCTGGTTGATGCTCCTGATAAATATGTTAGGGAATCAGTAGCACAGATTTGTGCCCAAATTTCTTATTTTTCTGGACTCAACATACAGGATTTTTGGGGGATTTTCAGGAAGGTAAGTGGGTCCATTTGCACCCCTATGGGATAAGTCAAATGGGGAGGTAATTTGTTAGACACAGTATTGTTTCTGTACAGAACATTGCAGTTTGTGAGGAAGTGGAAAAACATGGCATGAAGGTGAATGATACACATTGCCGAAAAACAGAAAAAAGTTTTCCATTCTGAATAATCAAAATGTATCACTACTGTACCCAAAAGATGTGTATGTATATATCTAAAACCCCTGGGATTGCAACACATAATATGCATGATGTTATAGAAAGATTATTTGTCGTAAGAGTTTATTTCAGAGAGGAACTTCAATATTTTGTATAAAATTGGTAAAACCTGAAAGCTCACCTTACCCATTGGTATATGTGTAATGTAAAGGAAATATTGTTCCCACACAGACAGAAGAAAAATGGCATTAAAGGTGTCAGTATACTTTTCAGAATCATCAAATGTATCTAATTTCTTTAGTTTGTAAACATATGATCTTTCAAAGCTGCCTTTAGCATTCAGCAATAATACTGAACTATCTTAATATGCTGTTGATTTCCCCTCGGCAAAATGTTTCTGATTGCTTTGAAGTCATTCACTCTTATTTAAACTTTAACTAGAGAGTCTAGGAAGTTATTTAACTAAGGAGATGCATTCTGATGGAAATGTCCGAAATTCTTCTCCTCAGCCTCTAAAATCAGAATTACTAACTAATTATTTTGCTAGTCAAAAGAAAAAAGTTTCAGAGAAGTCACTGTAGAGAAGTCACTGTAGAGCAGCTTGTGTTATCTTCACGCAACGCCAAGCACTGGCTCCACTCACAGGTGGCCTCGGGAGATGGGCAACTGCACAGCCGTTCTCTTAGTTTCTCTTTAAATATTTTAATGATAACGAACTATGGTTTTTAGACTACAATTTGAGCTACTTTCCAGATCTTGAGCTCATTTCCATTGTGTAGTTCCATGCTTCATTTCTGTCAGTAGGAGCTTCTCCCGAAGAGGTGTTCTGAGCAGATAAACTAGCCTAGATGGAGCTGGGACTGGAAACTACTGTTTTTCTTCTCTCTCCTCATTCCTTTTCCTTCTGTCTTCTTGTGTTACTGCTGCAGTAGTTTGCTTGTTCAGAAGCAACAGCTCAGGAGACACTTCAAATTTCAAAGGGTATTTAAGATTAGAGGTTTTATATTTTTTTTTTTTTAAAGAACTTTAAAATATATTGAGCTGCACTGTAAAGGTTAGAGCCAGATTTCTGATCCTGTTGAATTCGATGACGCTAGTCCTATTGATTTTGGCGAGGGCAGAATTTCCCACTCTGTGTGTATCCCTGTTACAGAACATGCCGAGGATCTATACCCACATCCTTCAACATATACCCACTGTGCAGTCAGCCTGGTAGCTTATACCGAAGATCGAGTGTGCAAGTAAACTTTCTGGCCATGCATGGTAAAGATAAAAAAAGAAATTACTTTCTGAGAGTAACTTATGTATTGCTATTACCAGTTTTCTCTTTGCAAAAGAGATCAGTATTTTTACCTTCTAATCTATATTTTATTTATATTTATATTTTTTTATAAAAATAAGGGGAAAAAATAAAGAACCATATTGTCCTCCTCAGGTGATGTAAATATTTTTAGTAGAGTCAGGAATACCCTGGTCTCCTAGTTTCTTTCTACATAGAAAGCTGCTCTGTTTTGTTGAATCCTATTTGCCTCAAAGACTTTAGGCTATATGTGCCAGATGACTGTGGAGCCAAAAAAAAGATACTGTTCAAACGAGCCTGGGTAATGACGTTTGGAAAAGGCACTGAGGTGGCTTTGAAAATTTCACAAAAGCACTTTTACCTTTGCTTAAAAAGGAAACGCTAACTCTGAAGCATACAGAAGGAAAATGTAACATTTTTTTTTTAAGCAACATTTTGTATTTATTTTATGTTATGTCATTTCTAGGTGTATCTGAACATTTTCTGAGTGTTAATGAAATTACTTTTGCCAGGTCATGGCAGAGTAAATATTGCAACCTCAGTGTTACTACTGAGAAAATGGAGACAGGGTTTGGGAAATGCCCAGTGCCGTACCCAGAGTGCCAGCCCAGCCACTCCTGGTGTTCCATCCTGTTCAGTTTGCCAGATCGCTCCTTTTTCTGATACAAGGCATTTGTTAAAAACAAAGGACTTTTTGGAGTGAATGGCATATTGCAGCATCTCCTCTTCCATACTATTTAGATGTCTGTTTCTAGAAAGATGCATGCAGTGAAACAGGAGTGTTTTAAATGTCTTAAGAACCTCACAATTAGCTATCAGCAGCTCTGGCTTTATTTTTTTTAATTTTTGCAAGCCCCCGAAGGAACACACCTGCAGTATGTACAGTATTTTTACCAGCAGGTTTTAGGATAGGGAAGATAAATGCAAGAAGCAGTATGTCATAATCACAACAAGCAGGCCGAACCATTAACATGAAATACGGGCTGAGGCAGAGAAGCAGATATATGTTCTCCTCCTTTTCAAAGGGTTTCTGTGTTGGTCACGTGTTTTACCTCAGCAATTCATTACAGTTGCCCTTCATATTGTAAGAGCTCTTTACAATATTCAAACTCTCTATCTTCTAAAGACAATGTTAACCAGATGACTCAAAGTAAATAAATGAAGATCCCCCAGTGACAGAATTTATTGGCTGGCACATGCCACAACAAAATATTTTTTGTACTGTTGTTGTCCAGACAGAAAAGGCTCCTTTGAGAAAACACATTGTCTTAGACACTGAGCCAAAGTTATTTATCTGTTGCTGGTTAGGAATGGGGGGGAACCCTTTCCTACCCTGGAGCACTAAGGGGAATGCATACAAAGAATAATGATAAAGTCAGTCACCGTTATATAAGTGATGATGAGAATAATGGAAATGTGGCTTGAATAGTCTGTTTAGCGAAAGCTGTGATCTAAGGCGTTTGATGGAAGCAATCACTATTTTAATCTTCACAGTCTGAGGGAAGGGAAAAAGCCAGTTGCATCATTTTTAACAGGTTCTTTTCCTTTTTTTTTTCCTTCTCTTTTTTTCATTCTGCTTTGTGGTTTAGTTTAGCTGCAGAAAAAATGGGATCAGAAATGATTTAAGAAAAGTTAATTTCTTAAGAGGGAGGGGGAAATTTCTGTCCCCTGATATCTGATATGGGGGCAAAAAACAAGCAGGAGGCGGGGGCAAAATGGCAACATTAATTTCCATGCAACTTGGCTTAATCTAAATACAGTCTTGACCTATCATTCAGTTCAGTGAATTGCCTAAATATGTTCTGCTTATATGCTTAACACTTTTCTACAATGCATGATACTGATCCATCCTGTTAAGGCCACCATATTGTAATCTGATGGCTTTTAGTCCTGCTGGAGGAACCTAGATGTAGAAGTGTAGTGCAGAGCACTGGAGATCGGCAAATAAAACAGCTTTATCTCTGTACTTACACGTGTGCCTGGATTTACTGCCGCAAAGCAGGTCTGTCATCCCCGGGGCATTTTGGTGCAAAGGGCAAACGTGTGTATGAACATTGACACACTCGAAAGCAAGCTGAGAGTAC